AACTTAGTTACAGATGGAGAAAAAAAAACACAGACAGTTGGTTATCACATTAAAAGTATTTAAAGCTATAAAATTTTATGAAATATGTGCATTAAGAAGGATTTTTATTATTAAAAGTTAAATAAATTATTTTACAAATTTATATATATTAATGCGTATTTAATATCTTTTTCTTTCAAAAATATAATAGTTTAATGCAATACAAACATTGTAAATTTTGTAATTAATTTTCATAATGAAATAATTTGTTTAATTATCAACTTAATTGTTTATTTTTTTTTAGCCCAAATTGATATACCCAAATATTGATTGATTAACTTGCTTGTTTAATGATGTAAACTCAATCAATTTTGGTTGCACATATTTGATTAAACACGAATTAGCATAGATTTCAAACTGAGCTAGATAAATAAATCTTTAGTTTGAAATAACATGCGTGTAAAGACGTAATTGAAGTAAGCAACACGAAACACAGAAACGCAAATAGACGAAAGGCGAAAAGGAAATTAAAAAGCAAACACTAATTAAATATCGTATGTCTATGCGAATTGGTTACGAATTCGAAATGGTATCAAAATCGTAAATCCAATCGGCTTCCAATTGGAATCCAAAATGAATTATATGTATGTGCGTATGTATGTGGTGCATATATACCAGGCCTTCCAGCTGCTGCGTCGATCCTCAGTAGCGCCAGAGCTAGCAGCAGCGTAACGGTAACGCCGGCAGCTCTGCGACTGCGTAGCCCGTATTTCAAACTGCGCGTTTGCATTTCGATTTTGGCAATTCGGAATAACGTTATATTTCTCGTGGTTGTTGTTGTTCTTGCCTTGTGTGACTTGTGTTTCTTTTTTCGAATTTGTCACGCAACCGTCGATTTAGAATTGGGCATTGCCCAAAATCCGCATTCGAGTTGAAAACCGCGAGGAATAATTAGCGCGTAGGCAGAATAACAATGCTGACAACAACAACAATTACAGCCACCAGGTCGAATTGATGCTGTCAGGGATGACAAAATCCGCAACGGCGACGACAACGACGACGACGACGCGAGCGACGAAATCTGCACCGGCGGTGCACACAGAAAAAAACCTTATTGCCAAATACAAATAATATGTAATATTAATTTTTTCTCGTATTTATTTTAGCTTGCAGCGCTTGCACACAATATTCAATCAATTGTGACACGATTTCACGACTCGCAGTCACTGTGGGAGAGAGATGCGCCGTACCGGAGACAGTACCGGAGACGGTGACGGAGATGTAAACGAAGTTAACTGAAGATTAGATGAGCGAGGCGCTCGAGCGTAGCAGAGACACGTCCGTAGCTCACGAGTTCTGCGCTTTTAATAAACAACGCTGCCATCAGCGACAACGAATGAAGCTTGGCTTTCGCATTGGCATCAAGTTGACGCTGACGGCGCACAGTGGTCCATATGTTGTTTGGGTATGTCCACATGTTACAGCAGCATTAATATTAATAGCAATTTACAATTTGGGCATTACATAATCTACATGCATGTATGTATATAAAAATGACTGTTTTAAATATAATGTTGGCTAGATAACAATTTCATAAGTGTATTATTTTGACTGATACAATTAGTTTTTGAGCCAATGTACATCTAATTCCCAGCTGCAGCGGCGTCACTGCATTTATTTACATATTGTACAAATTTCCCTAAGTAAAGGAAATTATTCAGTAAAACAAAACAAAAAGTATTTACAGTGCTGCAACTATCGCTTTCGTTCTTATTTAGGACATTTTCAACTCTAAGCCGCTCTCAGCACAGTTCATATGTAAACGTATGTGTGGGTGTATATGCATATGTATATGAGCTCAAAGCCCGATTTGATTGTTAACTTATAGTGTATTGCTTTTGAAACCGAGAAACTGTACATTTAATGACCTTACATATATCGTATATATGTATATCCGCATATGAATATATGAATATCGTGTATTTTCCCATACTTGGTGCAGGCGTTGCATTGCCAATGTCGCTCAAGGTCAGGCTTAACATTCGTCTAACATATGCTTAACATTCTGTTATTACCCACACGTTTCAACGGTTTTGCATATGCTTTTATAAATGGTATGCAAATTCATAATGAAAATGAATGTGTTAAAGTGTGAGCAGCATTTGTTTCTACTATATTATTTGTTAATTTAGATAGACAGGTTTGGATTTTGGAGACTAAACTCAATACATTGTCTGACGATCTATCAGGGAACGTCAGTCAGCAGTCTAGTTGCTAACAATGCATAATGYAAATATGTCAATCAAATACATACATACACACATACATACATATATTTCAAACAAATTCATGCATGGGGAATTTGTTCACAGAACAAAATCCTGTTCTCTGACAGAACACTGATTTCTGACTGGCTTTCGATACTTGAATTCATTAAATTGAGCGGCAAATTCTTTTGTGAGGCAAATTAAATTTGTACTCATCAAAGTGAATTAATTCGATATTTACGATGCTTAGTCAGCTCATATTAGATCACATTGTGGGGGAGCATTGTGCAAAGCCTTCTTTGATGTTATATTAACATTTGCGTACATTGATCCCTTTCGCAATTTGATTGCACAATTTTGTTTGTGAATATGCTTAAATTTGAAGGCTTTGGGATTGCGCTTTATTTATGTACATATATGTATGTATATACGAGTATACCATCTTTTAGTTCAGTTCATAACTGTCAGGCAAGGTCCAGGCGGCTTTTATCTTACTAATTATGTCAGCCGTTTGTTCCGCATTGGGACTTTTTTACTTTTTGGTATTTTGGTATGTGTGCCTCGTCTTCGAGCTCGAATTCGACTTCGAATCTTTGGCTTTGTATTCACCTTTGCCTGCGCTTCCTATGCGCAGCGTAACGATTGAAGCAAACGCCGCCAATGGAATCATTGGGCGTTAAAATTATTGTTACAATTAACAGCGCAGATATTACCAAATGGACTTAACTCTAAAAAGGCGCGCAATTTGGCCCGTGTTGCTGCTTTTGTTGTTATTGTTGTTGTTGCAGCTGTAGGGCGCCCAGTGTTAATAAATCAAAGCTAAGCGTCGGCCGACGCGACGCGTCGCTGCATAAGGCAAACAACAGACAAAGCCATCAATGGGACGTCGCGACGCTGTGGCTCAGTCGACGTCGAAGAAGTAATCAAAATTGTATTACGAAAACAAACGTTTTTATAAAAATGTTGTTGCTTTGCCTCTACTTCTTCTTCTTCTGCTACTTATAACAATGGCCCAAACAGTTGCCGCTGGCAGCGTAAAGTCGACGTTCAAGTCAAACTTTTTGAGTGGAGCTAAGAAAAAAGTCAAGTCAGCATCACAGCAGCAGCAGCAACAACAACAACAACAGCAGCAGCGGCAGGCATGCAGTGACAGCATTCATGCTGTATATTATTTACTTTAATAGAGTCTATGCCGCTTAGTCAAAGTCTCTTGCAGTTGGGAAATGATAATGGAAATGGAATTGAAAAAGAAAATGACGCGGCGCTGCGCATGCGTAAAAATTTTGGAGTGACCCTTCACCTTCAGCTTAATATTTACGTTTTTTTCTGTTATTAATTGTTATCATTTAATTTAATTTATTTTATTTATTTTTTTTTTTAATTCCATAAACATTTGCCTTACCTTTTGAACTCATCTTCATAAAAAAATGTAAAATTCATTAATTAAATTCGCAGCTTCGTCAAGCTTTAACATTTCCGTTAAACAAAAAAAAAACAACATGACTACATGATGTTTGCAAAATGATAAAAAAAGAAAATTTATAAATGCTTGTATATAAATATAAAAAATATATATAATAAATTAGCGACCAATTTCAGTGCAGTTGTTGAATGCAAGTGTTGTCAGCCCACAAAATAGTTTCGTAAAAAATCAACAACAAAGCTGAAAAGAAAAAAACATCTTAAATTTGTTTTTTTTTTTTTTTTTCTCTCGACCAGTTTTTGAACCAGTTGGAGCGCATCTTCTGTACGATATATCAGAGGCTATACAATTTTATTGCAAAAATATTGAAAAATGCGTTAAGACAACAACAACAACAACAACCAAATTAACAGCAACAACAAGCTGAACAATGACAGCATAAACTTTGTTGGTCACCCTGACCTTAACACAAATTTCGTCTTAATATCAAGTGGCGACTTACTGAATGGATACGTGCACAGCCTATGGACAAGCCGGGATTGAGGCTGACACTCAAGTCAACTCCATTCATATGTAAATAAACAAAACTAAATAAATATATATGTACATATATGTATGCATAATTTTCCATTAACTGCAGAAATGGGAACTGTTTGGTTAACAATATTTATTATCAGTACTTAATTTCTATTCCTTGACGAGTTGAGTCATAAATGTTGTTTGGTTCATTGAAATAAAACCCCAAGGCATCAGAAGTCATTAAAGCTTTGTCTTGTTAACGAATACGCTGAATTTGTGGTTATTTATTTGCGTGGGTTTTTTTTTTTTCATTCTTATAATCGAGCGTTCCCACATAGAAAGAAAGCAAGTAAGCAATAAGAACTGGTCTTAAAGCTCAGAATTCTAAACGGAAATTCAATACTGCTTACTTTACTCATTTCGCGGACATTTATAAATTGTTGACTTTAAAATTCTTAAGCTGTTGAAAGCTGAAAAAAATATATAAAAAGCCGTTAAAAAGAGGAGAGCTCTTATGACGTCATTAGAGACAAGCAGTCGATGAAATTCAATATCGTTTACTATCGGTTCACTCTTACATCGATTGCATTAGCTGGTTCATAAGTTCCGCGAGCTCCAGTTGATTTCATTAACTATATTCTGTAGCCCACTAAATGTTGACGATTTAAGTTCAATTTATTAGTTAGTTATTAGTGTTATTTTTCAAATGTTATTAAAATCTTTAAATAAGCCAAACAATCTGATTTGAATATTCTTGGCATTGTTAATCTAAGAAATAAAAGTCAATTCTTGCAGCCCTGGCAAACAGCTGATGGTGTCTAGGCAAGAGATAACAATAAATAAAACGAAATAGGAATATAAATAAAAAGCTTAAAGACAAACAAATGAGCTCCCTCTTTCGCAGCCTCAACCATTTTTCCACAAAACGTGAAAATGTCATTAAGGAGGCGCTGATAAATACACTGAACGAGAATGCGAGAGAAATTGAGTTTGAAGTTAAGCAAAAAGGACTTGGTAATTCACCTCAATTCAAATTTAATTAACCCAATTGCCATGACTCATCCAATAAAATTCCCACAGAAGTCATTGGACTGTGCGAACAGACGAGTGCTTTGTGCACCACTTTAGAGGCTTTGTTTCTGCACGGCTTGAAAGACTCGTTCCTGTGGGCCACCATCAATGTGATAGCTGGAGATGTGGAGCGACGACCGGAGCCGAGCTTTTGGTCACCGGCCATGGTGTTCATGCACAAGCAGGTGATCGAGCAAATCCAGCGGCTGAGCCAGATAACCTCCGAGACGGGCCAGTGTCGGGCGTGGGTGCGACAGTCTCTCAACGATTCCGTATTCTCGTCGTATTTAAATAATATGCGCAAGAATGGCTCAGCCCTGCGTCCGTACTATAAGAAAGATGCGCTGCTCAAGGACAGCGAGGGCCTGGAGACGGCAGCCAAGATTATGGAGAGTCTGGAGGCATATGTGACGTTCGATTTGCCTGTGAACTCAAGCCTGCTCAATCAATGGCCCGACTATGCGCTACAGCTATCCGATCTATGGACACCGGCACTCAAATCCTGTCCAGTAAGTAGAGCAGGGAAAAGTATTTAATGAAAGTTCGTATTTAACGGTTTTTTCTTTTTCAGATAAGTAGCGGCGTTGATGTGGCCAGCTCCTTGGCTACTGAAATCGTGGCCATTCCGACGCCACAGCCGCTGCACACGAACGAGCTCTTCTCGGAGTCCATTTCGAACAGTCCATTCAGTCGCGGAGGTCAGTTTGGGAATGCGGATCTCAACCAACACGAGATGCTGGATCTATTTATGCAAAAGGTTGACGAACTGGATATTATAAACGAAGAGCAGACAAACAGTTCGGGAGAGACAAAGAAAGATCATGAAGAGTCCACTGATGTCGAGCAAGCCGAGTCGAGTGGTGGAGGTGGTCCGCGGATTCGAAAGCGTTCCATGCGTCTCATTGAAGAACCCTTCTCTGAGCTGCCGCAGGGCAGCAATTCGCTGACAAATCTCATGCAAACCTCGTGGTCCGCCGATCTGGATGCCCATTCGCCCACAGAAGAGACCGGAGCGCGCTTCTTTCAGCGCTCGGTTAGCATGAGCAGCACGACCAGCCTGCGCACACCCACAGCGGATCGCTGCAGCTACAATGCGCTGCTACGCAAGCACGAGAGCAATCGCGAAGATGGCTCCGGCTGGTCGCAGATCTGGGAGAAGTTTCGCGCTAATCCCTCCACCCTGAACTTGGCGCAGCAGCAGACATCGCAACGAGAACTTGATTCGAATGCAACAGATGATATGAGTGAACTGCAATCAATCGATGTAAGTTATTGCCAGTTATTGGAGTGCTTGATATTAATATTCTCTACTCACAGACCAACTCGGAATTTGAGCTGCTCAACTCGAATTTCGAAATGGGCGAGCTGCAGCAAATGGTTGCTCAGCTCTGTCAGCTGCCACGCGAGCCCGGACTGAATGCACAGGGCTTTCTGTGCAAGGGCTGCCAGCACCCGCTGGGCATTGGCGACAACAATTTCCAGTGCGTAGAACCAAACTATAAATTACGGTCTTACCTTTCACACAATCCCTTCTATATATTCCTGTAGAGTGTGTGCCTTTAGTGGCAATTACTATTGCAACATCTGCATGGAGCCGGAGCCTCAACTCATTCCAGCACGCATCGTCTACAACTGGGACTTTCGCAAGTATGCCGTCAGCAAGCGGGCAGCACTCTTTCTGGCCGAGTTTCGGGCACAGCCCTTCCTCGACATGCAGCTACTCAATCCGAGCATTTACTATGCCTCCGATGCCATGGCTGAGCTGCAGTCCCTGCGCATTCGCTTGAACTTTATACGTGCCTATCTCTATACCTGCGCGCCGAGCAGCCTGAAGCTGCTGCAAAACCATTTCGCTGGCCGGGAGTATCTCTACGAGCACATACATCAGTATTCCATAGCAGATCTGGCATTGATACAGCGTGGCGCGCTTTGCCAGCAGCTGCAGAAGGCCTTTAAGATGGGCGAGGCGCACGTCCTCAAGTGCCGGCTCTGCCAGCTGAAGGGCTTCATCTGCGAAATCTGCCAGAGTCCGCGTGTGCTCTATCCCTTTCACATTGCCACCACATTTCGGGTAAGTCTACTGATCCTCATTTCGATCGCAATTGTAATTTATATTCCCACTTACAGTGCGTCACATGTGGTGCTGTATTCCATGCCGAATGCCTGAACGAGCATCAGCCGTGCCCCAAGTGCGAACGTCGACGTCTACGCGAGGATCAGCCGCTGCAGGAGGCTGTCGAAGATCTAAAGCTCAAGCATAGCTCAGGCGCAGCTTAGATTGCCATTTAGTTTATAGCCAACAAAGTGCGATTGTTCATTGTTTACGGAATTTAATTCTATTTTGTATTTACACTATGTCTAAGCTTGTTATAGTTCGGTTGGCTAATCAGCAGATGCTTTTAGCCAATTCATGTTATTCTCACTATTTTGTAAATAACCGCTTGCAGCTAATATATACTCCAGAAAACAAACTGCATTTAAAAATGAAATTCATGTTGAAATTAACATATACAAAATTCACCTTTGGATAATTCTAGTGAAACGGATCTGTGCTAAGAATATATACGTTATATATATGCTATGATAACTAAATAAAATATTGCTTATGGTAACGAGTCTTTTATGGGAGATTTTCATATAGAAAAACTGCCCCAATAAATCATATATTTTTTCATATATCAGCCCAACCCACCATTAAAAAGTCATTTGAATTCGGTATTTCCAATGCTTTTTTCAGTTTATTTATATGAGAACTTCGAATGGAATGATATTGAAATATAATATTGAATGTTTTGAGTTATTTCTAATGACGGCAAGGGTCCAACAACAATGAATTTCATAATAATAATCATATTAAGTAATTAATTTGATGTAAGTGAATAATATTGCCCTAGGGGATTTAACAAATTTATATATTAATTTAGAATAGTTATTGAAGAATGGATACAGAAGTTGTTCGAATTGTATCACAAATGGAAAATAATATATTTAATTAACTGATCGGGGTATTGATGTAATATAATGTATTCCAACTACATGTAAATGTTTTTTTTTTTTTTTTTTCATTTTAATTTTCCTGTTATTTTTCGTTGGAAAAACCTTTGGTTTGTGCTACAGTTTTCATTTGCATTAACATTTGTGTGTTTTCTTTGTGATTTAATAATAAAATTTTAATTTCGGTTCAACAATTTGTTCAGTCTAGTTTAGATAGGGAGAGCGACAAAAACGCTCGTAAATATGCGAATAGTACTTACACATAGATTTATATATATATATATTAAAGGGTTTTCTCTGCTGGTGTTGCCTTTTGAATAATTTGACTATCTTTGGTCTAGATTCAAATGCCACTAAGTTTTATATACAGATTAAATATAGTTAATATGTGTATATATGTATATAAATGTATGCATGTACGTAAGTATATTTGTGTGTTAAGCCTGGGAAGACACTAAACTTAAAATAAACAGCAAGAGAGCTGAGTGAGGCCGTTACAATTTGAAGCGTGATTCAATTGAACATATTCAATCCTTACATTTTTTAGTACATATTTAAGCCAGCCGTTAAGCTCAAAAAGTTGGCTACTAAATGATTCAATTGAACATTTTCACGTATGACATTTTTTAGTACATTTCTTAAATCAGCCAATGCCATCTAAAACGAATTCATTGCATATCTACTCTTTCCACCACATTTACAATGTGTACATACACGTGCAGGTGTCTATTACATACATACAAAACCAAATTTGTGCATCTGCATTTGTTTTATGTCATTATTGTTCTGTTTCTATTTTATACACTTTACAGGGACACTTGTCACATTTGCATTTGCACACATACACACACACGCATACCGAATCGCACTCACGCATATACAATCTCAATACAATAACAACAGTAAGGACTTGCACGCTTACACTTACACACGCACATAAATACGTATACATATATACAAAGCTTAAACAGGGAAAGAAATTTACAGTTATGTTTACAATTAATAAACCGTTGAATTGCGCGGCACACTGGACGCCGGCTGTGATTTTGGCCGCACATTGACAGTACTTGTAGCGCTGCTGACGCCGACGCCGACGCCGCCGCCCGCTGCGCCATTGCCGCCATATAGAAAACTGGATTGTCTTATCACAGACACTGTAGCGGCGGCCACGCCTGCCTGTGGAGGTGGTGCGGGAGCGCGATGTTTCTTGAGAGGCGCATAGGCGGGCTTCAGTCCCGTTGTGGGTTTTGCATTGTTGTTGCATGCAGCGGTACTGTTGTTGTTGTTATTATTATTATTGTTGTTATTGCTGTTGGGCGCCAAAGTGGCTTCTGCATTTCAAGCGTGACAGAGAATGCATTTACGTAGGGAGAGAGAGAGAAAGAGAGARAGAGAGAGAGGGAATGATATATTTATATATACATACAAAGACAGTTTGTTGTTGTGTTTTGTTTTTGTATTTAAAGCTGCGCCCGTCACTTAGGCAATGGAAATTTTTACAAGCAAGCAACAAACACAAATGTTTAAGGATCATGTGGAGAGAGAGAAGAGTAACAGCAGAATATGGAGGACAAATACGACGCGTGTAAAAATGTAAAAAAAATGTACAAATGTTTAATGGATATCAAAATTTCAATTTCATATTTGCTTTGTTTATTGTTCATAACTTCAAATAAAACAATAATGTGCTAAAATTAAATATTCATCAATATATAAAAAACCATACATTTTGCGTTGTAGATAAGATATAAAAGTACAAGTACAAAAAATATCTGTATATATATATAAGTTTTAATATATATGCAAAGCCGATCGTAGACAAATACATAAAAGTAAAACCATGCGCTACAAAAGTGTATAGAAATAATGCTGTAGGACTTGAACATAATGCGAATCGAGGCATGAACATAGATAAGAGGCGTTTTAATATTTAAATATGCTTTACTAAAAATAATACATAATATGCGTGTGCTTAGTAATAATATCGCTGTTTTCTTTGTTAAATAAAATAGATATTTGTATGCATAAGAATATGTAGTTAAAAGTATATATATAGATAGTATATATAATAATATTTATATGCATATTAACAAAATTATGTGGAATAAAGCTATCAACTTTTCATAATTATAAATATATATTTTAACATTTTTAAACAATCATAAATTGTAACGTTACATTTGATAGCATATGTTTCATCTCTTGATGTGTGTTTGTATGTGTATGTGGTGTGTGTGTGTGAGTGTGTATAAAAGACAATTTAAAATTGCATCGTTGTATTTCGTTTCAATATTTCACATCGAACTAAAATGCTACATTAATATGTGTTTTTCACTTATAAATAATAAAAATAATAATATTATGCAACTTTTGCAATATAATAATGTATATATATATACATATATGTATTCATTATNAATTTATTTCGCATTATTTTTATAAACTTGTTGGCCAGCAAAAAAAGAACAGTTTTTAATTGCAATGCTATATGTATGTGTGCGTATGCATGTATATTTATAAAAATTCACAACTAGTTGAATTCACCACAAAACCCGAATGCGATTACAGCAAAAAGTTGCAGAAATTCTCTGTAAATTTGTTCATTATTCGATTGGACGCTGAGCAGCTTTTTCTTTAAAGTTAGCATTTTGAAACAACTCTAAATGAAACTAATAGTAATAATAATAATAATCAGAAACATAATTATTAACACGGCGCGTGGAGTGAGTTTGCTTTGACAGTAGAACCGACCCACACACCCAAAAATAAACACGCATACACCGAAGCACACACACACACACATACATACACTCATGTACACATATACATATATATATATATATATATCCTTTACATACCATTGGTTGCCTTAAGCGAGCGACTAGGATAGACTTTTTGTATATTTAGAAACGGAGGCGGTTTCGGGAACTCGGTAACATTATGAAATCTCTTGCCAAACTTTGCCTCCAAATCGATGACAAGTCGACCAACTGATGCACTCCCTCCCACTCCAGTTCCAGTTCCAGCTCCAGCTGCTGCTCCGGTTGCCAGACCACCGTTGCTGCCAAAATTGTGCGTCGCATTGGCCATGTGCGTGGGCGGCGTTAGCGGGGCATTGGCCCGTATAGATGAATGGCGTTGGGGCGGCACTGGCGCCTGCTGCTGTTGCTGTTGCTGTGCTCCACCCTGCAATCGAAAACGAGATGCATTAAATTGCCTGCCAAATTCCTGTTAGATAAGCTGAAATTCCGTTACACTGCGCTTTTGATTGAGCATCAGCATTGTTGTGAATAGCCTTGAGATTCTTTTGCTATACTTTTGCTTTGAGTTCGGACAGTTGCCTAATCCTGGACTGCTTCACATAATACGTGAAGTCAGCACTGAGTTGCGTGAAGGACCAAGAAACTAAATTTCACTTTAAGCCCACACAAACAGCAAAACAAAACAAGCGTGCGATGAGCGACAATCCGTATCGAAGCTGTTTGGGTCACGTATTGTTGGAAAATCCATAAAGGTTGTAAAAAGCTAACGGTTTGTGCGCAGCGGAGAGCAAAGAGCAAAGAGCGAACGCGCAGAGCGCAACGCAAAGGAACCCAAAATGAGAGCAAATTATACAGTGGGCGAGAGTCGGACAGAGAGAGAGAGAAAGAGAGAAAGCCCTAATGTTACTTTTGTGCACTGTAAGAAATTAGTAATAAATGGCCAAACTAATATTTGAATTAATTTTAGCCAGTGATTTTTTTTTTTTTTTAATTTGTCTAAAAGGTGCAAAGCATTTGCGCTTTTGAGCAGACTACATTTTTTGTTTGTTTATTGTTAACATTAAGTTCAATTGAACGACTCATTAAGTTGCATTGCTGAACTTCTTTAGTGATCAGTGAACGATGCAGTTCAGTTGCATGTGAACTTTGTTCAGTTATGGAATTAGTCAAGAACCAATCGATTTGCTCAAATGTTCGATAAGCTATTCATCTGGCACTCGTGAGCGAATAACTGACCAATAAGAATCTTCAATAAATTTCATGGTTCATATACTGAATAAAAATATCGATATAAATTGCATTGACTAGATTTTCCGCTTCAGTTTTTTGCTATGCCACAAACTCTAACAATTGTTCTTGCAGTGTATATTAGCTTAACCTAGTACAACATTTGTTCTCAGCTGGATGCTGCTGTTACCTTTGGCATATGCGCCAACTTGTTGTTGACCCAACTCTACTCTACTTACGTTGCTCGACTGTCGCATCGGTGGCGGGGGCGGCGGGCAGCTGCGATGGGGTGGCAGTGCTGGCGGATTGATGGGGCCACCATTGAGTATAATGGGATTGACCTTCTCACGCATTGTCGACGACTTTGGACTGGCTGTGATGCCGCTGGGCGGAGTTGGCGGCGTTCCGCTGCCATTGATGCGAAATTGGTCGCGCAGAGCGGCTACGCTGCTGCAGCTGCTCGAACTGGAGGGCGGCTGCTGCAACGGTGGCGGTGATGGTGCCGGCGTCGTAATAGTCGCACTCTGCACCAGCGCCGTATTCACAGCACTGAACGGCGCCGCAATGCTGCTCAGGTTGCTGTTCGAAATGCTGCGCGATGGAGTCGGCGGCGGCGGTGGCTTCACCGAGGGACGTGCTGCGAATGGAGTTAAGCATAAAGTATTCCGTATAAAACACTGATTGAATAATTTCCATTTTAGCAGGAATTATCCTCAGATAATGTATTCCAAGCATATATAGTGGTATGTAAAGACGGAGCACTTACTCTTTGGCGGATTGGGCGCAGTGCGAATGCTGCCCGTGATACTATTGGTGCTGCCACTGATGCCCTCGCTGGACTGCAGCAGCAGCGTCTGCTGAAGCGGGGCGCGCATTGTGCCAAAATGTTGTTGCGTTGAGAAAACGGGTCCATTAATGCCTCCAGCAGCCGGTGGGGATCTGAGTGATAGTGGGGAGATAGATAAGAGTAAATGTGGTGTGTGAGAAATTATGCAAGCATTGCGGGATTCAAGCTGTGCAGGATTCAAGCAGTAGCCAAACTCCAAACCAAAGGCAAAGATGAGCGCGCAGCACTAAGCATGGTGCGTGGCCCAGAGGCCAATATGATGTTTATATAGACAGTGAGAGAGAGTGGATGAATGCTATACCTGGGTGACTTCATGCTGTGATGTCGCGCCACCGCTGGACGCTGATGCCCATTGGCTAACGCCAGCTGCTGCAGCCCCGGCGGCTTTGGCGCAAAATTTGGCTTGCCAAAGCCAACTGCTGGCTTCTGTTGCTGTTGCGCTATGGGTGGTGTGGGCGTGGACGCTGGCGAATTATTACTAACACCACCACCACCACCACTGCTAACAAAACTACCAGTGCCACAAGCACCACCGAACAGCGTTGACTTATTTGGCGCCAAATTGCGCAGACCGCCTCCTGCTCCCGCTCCCGTTCCCGTTCCCGATCCCGTTGTTGTTGACGACGTTGTTCGATTTGAGTTTGTTGCTGTTGCGGCGGTTGTTGTTGCGCTTGTTGTTGTTGTTTTTGTAATTGAACTATTTACAAAACTATTGCCTAACGAGATACTGTGTACAGGTGTGTATGCGTGTGTGTGTGTGTGTGTGTGGTGTATTTGGACCAGGAGTTGTTAACCAATTAAAGTCCCGGCAAAGAAACCAAAAAACAAAAAATTTAAAATTTTTAAAAAAATTCATAAAAAAGTAATAAAATTAGAGAAATACAAAAAATGCAAAATTCAAAAATTGAAATATATCAAACATAATTACAAACATTCCGTTTCAGCCCGCACCCAAGCAGGCATTCCGCCAGTTGGCCAGAATGCGATGCGACTCACCTAAGATTAGCCGCTTTGCTCTTCACGCTGCCGCTGCTGTTGCTCCCGCTCTCCGAGAGCGTGGGCGATGCGGCTTTTACCTTGCCATTGCCAATGGCACTCGCTGACGCTGCCGCTGACGCTGACGACGACGACGACGGCGACGCCGACGTCGATGATGATGTCGCTGTGGGCGTTGCAGCTGCTGTGCGAGGTATGTTCATGCGTTCCAATATGGATTCGCTGGAGTTCTAATGGAATAGATCAAAGCAACATTTGTTTAATGCCGGAAGAACAGGAATAGCGAACGGGTTATACAACTAATAGAAGCAGCAATCTATAGCCAGCTAAATCTTTCAATTTATTGATCAAGGCTATGCTCAACATGGAATTTTAACATTAGACTGCATTAATATCTGGCTAATAGTTTAGCTTCTGTAAATTATGATAATGATGATGATGATGATGATGATGTAAATGAATCTCTTACAAGTCTTTCAGAACTTTGCTATTCTTAATTCTAGAAATGTATTGTATATATACTTCATTTTATTTAATTCTTAGGTCTTAGCATTATATCTATTCCATATTTGTTTTTCAAAAATCTTTCGGAGATTCTGTTCTATGATAATTTATATAAATACTGTAGAATCTAGTTCTAACGAGGCTCAAAGGACCGTAGTTATACCTATATAACGGTATATAGGTTTGCTCATATAAGTTTCTCTGGTGACCAGAATTTTTATCGCAATAACTGTACGGACGCCATGGGCGGGGAGTTGCTATAACCGGATTCTAGTGTAATTAGATAATTCTAAAATTACAAGCTGGCTTTAGCTCGATTTCTAATTAGATCACAATATCGTATATTCCAGTTTCGAATTAAATTGAAAATTAGATGGGTCTGTGCTTTACTAATGCTCTTAAATATATTCTAAACTAAACAACAAGACTTGATTCAATCTGTAGTCACTTAATAGGTTTCTTGAATCAGCAATGATTCCTTATTAAATACTCTGTAAATGAGTTGTTTCCTACTCTAAACTACAATGAGTTTTTACATTGATATGAATACACTTCTAGTTTCAATTAAGTTACATACACTTCTCTATACGCTTACAGCTATATATATATACATACATTAAATAAAATTTTTTATATATCTCTATACTCTTCCATCAGTAATTCTAATTGCTCTACATCTAAAATCTCTAATTCCCAATTCTCTGCCTTTTCTTACTTTACTAATTCTTTAATTCACTCTAAGTGCTCTACTTTGGCTAATTGCTCTATTAGTAATGCTCGCTTGCCTATTTATATATATACATATACAAATGAAAATAGTTCTGCCTTTGTGTGGGTCTCTCTCTCTCTCTCCCTCCCTTCCTCTGTGCCTGATTCACTCACCTTTGGCGGCTGCGGTGGTGGTCCGCGATTTGTTCTCAGATTTGCTTCGGTTGCATTGATATGTGTGCTGTTGTTGCTGTTGCTCGACTGTGGTTGTTGTTGTTGTTGCTTTTGACGCTTCAATGTTAAATGCTTGGTGAGCTCCGTATTAAAGTCCATGGGTCCATTGTTGGCTGCTGCGGCTGTGGGGGGGCTATTGCTGCGTGTTGCTGGCGACGCCGCTGCTGGCGCTGGAGCTGGTGCCGCTGTTTTGGTGTGGGTGCAAAACGGAAATCAATTGAGCAACAGCAGACATTTGCATGAACTATAACTATTTTATTCAAAACTTACCACGAACACCATTCACTGGCTTCAGCTTTGGCATCTGTGAGAGGCCTTCGAAGAGGCCACCCAATTTGGGTGCTCCATTGCCCATGTTGTTGTTGTTGCTGCTCATGCTGTTGTTGTTGTTGTTGTTGTTGAGGCTGCGTTTCGGTGCAGCTCCAGCATCGCCATCACAGACACGCCCCGACAGAGCTGGCCCACTCTTGTCCACAGTTGTCGTCTTGCGCAGCTTGGTGCCCTTCTGTATGGAGTTGAGTAGAGCTGACCGTGGATCCGCTCCTCCTCCTCCTCCACCACCACCCAGCTTGAGTCCACTCAAGCCCGGTGGCGGAGGCGGTCCTGGCGGTGGCGGAGGACCCGGTGGCGGCGGTATGGCCATCTAAAAGACAAGAGACAATACACATAGAGCTATTAGGCAGGCTAAATTATCTGAAAGCCAAGTTTACTTTGTGGCTCGGAGCGCGTCGCATTAGACGCATTTTACGCTTTACTTTGCGGCACAGACTCTAGACCAAGACTGAAGCCGAAGCTGAGGCTGAGGCTGAGGCGGAGGCCACAGACTCAAGACGCGCTCAAGCCAGCAGCAACTGTCGCCACCCACACGCTTTAATAACTCAGTTTCTATAACTATTATATGTGGATGGATATATATATGTTATTATATATGTATGCACATATAGAAATATATTTATGTCTTGTCTTGTTTCGTTGCTTATTTTCTTTAGATTGACGCCTCGATAAATAAAAAACAAAAACAAAAACAAAAACAATCAACCAAGCGCAAACAGTCCGTAAAATGAATGCCAGACGCTGCACAGTTTGACAGGCATTGGGCGCATAGCTCCCACAGAATCTACAAAATGAAGCCCACGTGCCTAAGCATATATGAGCAGATACACACATACAAGCACACATAAGTCTCATGTGAGTGTATTCAGATTGATATACGCATATATAAGCAATTGAGATTTATGTATAATTCCTTACGTTTATATAGGTTCATTTCTCGTTTTACTTTAACAACAAATATAGGTTTGTTTATTATATAAATAACTGCAAATACGCTTGATATGCTCTTTCATAATAATGAAGCGAGTATATTGGCTTTCTATAAAATCTTTCTGACTAGATTTCTGTCAATTTCAATTGACTCTAGAGCCGTATTTCCCATGAATTCCAAGTATTTCTATTGTATATGGAGATTTTATATTTATTCAAATATTCATAAATTTATATATTTATTTACAGTCGTGCAACCTCGTCCCATAAATTGCCCCACTCTGGGATCTATATATTGGATTTTACCACACAAACGTTAATATTTATGGCGCTAATATAGCTATAGACTTGTTAGTTTTAGTATGCATATAAAGACTTCTACAAAGTCTTCTTCTATATCAAACGCTTATAAAAATGTCAAGGCTAAGTGGGTAAACCCAGCGGAAAAGTCTATATTATCTATAGTCTAAGATCTAGGCATTTAACAAAATGAATCAACGTGTAAGTCATCTAAAGGTTTGCATACAAAATATAATATATATCTGTCTATGTAAAAACGAAGCAGAAATATTACAGAACTCTTTCTTGATATAAAAATATGTATTATATTTTCTATTCATTTTTTGAATATATTAAAAAATATATGCTCTTTTTTTTAAATATATTTAAAATAAATATATATTTTTATTATCTTATATTCAATCGACATTATGTTAGATCTTGATCCCTGATCTATGATTTATTAGCTAGCTGATAATAGTTTTTGATAATAATACATATAATATAGCTGTCTCAGTGCAATTTACTCCCTGAATAGTTGCAAAGATGAAGCTGCATAGAACGAACGTAGTAAAGTTGCTCTATTCATTATGCATATATTTTACATATTTCTATCTCGTAAACAATGCGCAGGTAAAAATGTTTATAACTAATATAAACTATCAAAATTAACTATCAACTATCTTCAATAGTGTCAAGATCTGGCACATCCCATAGAAACGATGCACGAGCTGGTTCTTAAGTATGTCAAAGGAGAAGAAAATTACAATCTATTATAGAACGAAATCTTTTTAAAGTCTACAGGAACAGCTGGAAGCACTGAAGGCATATGTAAACCCAAATAGTTCCACTTCATCCAAAGATGGTAAGATAAAATTTAAAATTCACATATATAATATTTCTATGAAGATCATTTATAGAGAAAAGCTATCCCACATCCTGCTTGACGTCCTCGTTCAATGAAAGTAAAATTGCAAGTGGAATTCGTACGATTAAAGTACCAGGTATGGCTCCCTTTTCCGTAGCCTGTGATAACTGTTTGGCTGGATACGGATGGCTGGTGATACAGAGGCGCATCAATGGCAGCTTGAACTTCTATCGAAACTGGGAGGAGTACAAGCAAGGCTTCGGTAGTCTCGATGGCGAGTTTTTCATTGGACTGGAGAAACTGCGTGCCATAACTGCCCTGGAGCCCTTCGAGTTGTATATCGTCCTGGAGGACTTTAATGGAACCACGCGATCAGCGAGATTTGATGAATTTGCCATTGGCAGCGAAGAGGATGACTATGCGCTCTATGTCCTGGGCGCCTATTCGGGAAATGCCGGAGACTCGTTGAGAAGTCATCAGAAAATGAAATTCTCGACGTACGATCGGGACAACGATCGAGAGTTCCACAGGAATTGTGCCTTTCTCCACGTGGGTGCCTGGTGGTACAATAGTTGTGTGGACAGGTGAATAATCTATTGATGACTAGAGAACTGTATGATAATATATGTATATCTCTATCTCTACTCTTCAATTTAGTAATCTCAATGGGCAATATATTGAGGGCGGTAAATATGAAGAGAATCTCTTCGCGCGCGGCATGTGCTGGAGAGCCTGGCGTGGCCACAACTATGGCTACAAGTTCACCCAAATGATGATCAGACCCAAATGCCGACACTTTCCAGCTACCTTCAGGAGCAACAACAACACGAGACAACACTGCGAAGCATTCTCTTAGCCATTTCGATAGGATTTAAATATATTCCAATCATGTTATTTCCTGGTTTCTTTAGGCATATATTCATATATATTTCAGTATGTTTTTTCCACAAATTTATACCTAGTATACTATTTCCTGCATTGCATAAATATACAGCTCCATATCTATATGCATAATTTGACCTATGTTCTGTATTCTGTTCGGTGCTGATAAGAAATTGTAGACATTAGCAAATCGGAATGCGCAAGGTGATTCGCTGTAACGAGGTCTAAAGTATATATTCTATTTAGTAATACTCAATCATGCTGTACTCGATTAAATTTTGACTCATATACTAAACTTGGTAAGTATTTTATTATTTATTTTCACTAGTTCTTTTCTATTGAATTTAATTTAATATACAATTTTTTTATATATTTTTCATATTAAAAAATTTAGTATGCACCTATTAAATTAATTGTATACATATTTTTATACATAATTAAATGTTTTTATGGGCTCATAAACATTATGCATAAAAATTAAATAACACAGGTTATTTTTAAGCAATCCAAATTAAGCTCGACAAGGGTAATATAAGGCTAGCCAGAGGTCATAGTCATATGAATTTATACCCAAACAATCCATATAAAAACATTTATTCTTATTTTTTTAACTGAACAGAACTCAATATACCTCTTACCCACTTCATTTACAGGGTATAATTCTAATCAGATCTCACTTTTAATTCAAATGTAAATGCAGCCTATTACAATTTAGTCTTGATTATGAGATGCTGGGAGAAGATCATATTAAATATCTGCTGTAAATATGAATAATATATACTATATAGCATTCTTCCTTTTCGGAAACCTTACATTTTATGCCAAAAGTTCAAGTTCAACAAATGTATACGAAAATGCTGAACAACTAATTTCAAGGTATTTTACTTAATTCGGCATTTTGCAACAATAAATAAATAAATAGCTTTCTATATATATGAAGTTTAAAGAAAGAATTGTCTAGGCTGAGAGCAGATTTAACAGCACAAAAAACTGAAGAAACAGGTAAAGTGCGACTATTATAAAGTCTTATAGAGTATATATAAGTCGTTTATCTGCTCGTTTAGCTCATCCCCCATCATGCCTGGCGGCTATGATCAATACAGATGGTATATACACTATCTGGGTGCCGGGCCTGAAGCCTTTTCCTGTGGCCTGTGACACGAGGATGGCGGGCGCTGGCTGGACAGTGATCCAGAGACGTCAGGATGGCAGCGAGAACTTTTATCGCAGCTGGTCTGAGTACCAGGCGGGTTTTGGGCAACTAAATGCCGAATTCTTTATTGGTCTCGAGAAGCTGCATCACATAACGAATGCCGAACCCTACGAACTATACATACATCTGGAGGACTTTGACGGCGAGACGCATTATGCAAAATACGATAGATTCGTGGTGGCAAATGAGTCTGAGTCATATGCGCTGAGTCAATTGGGCAAATTTACTGGAGATGCTGGAGATTCGCTGAGCTATCATGTGGGCAAGGCGTTCTCGACATTTGATAACGATAAGACCGGCAAGAACTGTGCCCTGACTAATGTCGGCGCCTGGTGGTATAATCAATGTCAACATAGGTTAGTTAATATTCCGTTTATTTTATTTATTATTTTATTTTTTTCACCTTTCACTTATAACGAATAATATTTCTCTCTTTCTCTCTCTCTCGTTCGATTACAGCAATTTGAATGGACAGTATATGGCCGGCGGTAGCTATGAGAAGAAGCTAACGGGTCGCGGTATTTGCTGGAAGACCTGGCGGGGCTACGATTACGGCTATAAGCGCACACAAATGATGATAAGGCCAAGGTGTAGGAGCAGCTTCAGCCAGAGCTAATTATTATTTATTCAATTTCATTAAACACATTCAATATGCAAAATAACAACAAAATAAGCGATCGATTCGCCGCTGAATCATCGCGTCGGAAATCTTGATCAGTTTTAAAGCTCTTTCAGCACTTTTTTGTTTTTGTTTTTAATTTTTTTATTCTTTTTTTTGGGAGGTTTGTTATCAACAAATATAAACTTTTTATTTACGTTTTGATTATATTTTGCGCTGTTGATTGTTGTTGTTACTGTTGCTATTGCTATTGTTGTTGACTCGACGTTTGCTTTTGTTTTATGTTTTTAATTTTTTACAACAATAACAAAAAAATCAAAACGCACTCGTAAAGCGTGCGTTGCGCTCCGTTCGCGAGTCGAAAATCAACTGAAGAACGTAAACGGTCGCGCATGCGACGCCAAAGCATACAGAGCGAGTGAGTGAGGGAGAGGGAGAGGCAGCATGAGCGAGTCACACAGCAGGAGAGCAAAGTGAGAGAGCGTCAGCAGGTCTACGTAGAGGCAGAGCGCAAGCAAGCTTTGAGGGGGAGCACTAGCAACAACAACAGAGCAAAGTGAAGAGCGGAGAAGAGAGCCAAAGCAATTCATAAAATTAGCTGTTAAGGTCGACGCGGACGCAGCTGAAAACGGCAAACGGCAAATGACAAAATCAGCGTCAACTGAACATCGCTGTGACGTCAGGCATCGAATATTGCAGTGAGCGAGCGCACGCCACATGAATGGACAAACAGACAGACATAGATAACGACAAAGATGAAGTTAAAACAAAATTGCAAAGACTAGCCGCACAGCAATGGAGGCGCAACAGCAACCGCATTTCAGCACCTGTCTGTCGGCTCTGTTGACAAAACGATGTTGATCGGTCAAAGCAAAAACAACTTAACTGTAACTCTGGGCTGTGCGTACATACATATGTGTTTGTCTGTGTTTGTGTTTATGTGCCAATCTATGTGTGTGTGTGTGAAACGTGCGAAATATTTGCAATCTTGCCTCAGACTTTAGCTTGAGTCATTAAGCCTGAGCACAGTGGTACAAAGCTTCTTAACATTGAGACACGATCAGGCATGATTCATGCTTCAGCTTAATTCTGTCTATAAGTGTCAGACGGGATGTCGTTTAATTGAACAGCTGCCATGAATGCACTGACAACACAACTCATTGAAAATTGAACGTCTTTAGTCATGCAATGTATTTACATACATAATAAATGGTAAAAAATATTCATATCTGTGTACATATTTACGTTATCCCATATCACCTCTATATGTACATATGTATGTAGTAAGTAGATAAGAGCTCTAATGTTCTAGGAAAGACATTTGTCCGTTTTTCCTAGTTGGGTAAGCGTTACCTGTACCCTAGTTAGTTACATCAATTAACGAGAGCCGATCAAGGCGTTGCCACACTGTTAATTTTTGATGTTGTGGGCGGGCGTTTTGCGGCCTGACAACTTACGCAATGTTTGCTTTGTATTGTCTTACAGACGAACCACAAGACCTGGGGCCGGGGTCTCAGCTCTGGTGCCCAGAGCTTGGGCCTGGGCTTGGGACTGGGCGTGCATTTCAAATAGGCGTGTTAACATAATACAACCAACACACATCATACCATTTGACTTGCATAACGGACAATGGATATTAGTTTTTGACAGGGCAAATCAATTTGTACACACGTTTCGGGAAATGTTTCCGCCGGAGTGGTGGAGAATCCATTAAATGTGGCCAAAACAAACGAATGCGTGATCTAATGATTTGTCGAAATTGAATTTGATTTTATGTCCATGTGGACAAACTATATACACGCCCAACAAAAAAAAAAAAAATTAAACGAAAAAAAAAACTAGCCACAAATTTGGGGCAATTAAGCTGATGACAGTTTAGGGCAATCGAGAAGTTCAAAATGGGGAAGGGCGAAGTTAACAGTTTGTTTCTTCTTCTTTTTTTATCACACACTGAAAACACACCTTGAATTAGGCGAATGGCGAGGAATTGAAACCCAGGATAACACAGCAATAAACTTAAACTAAAGTTAGAGATTGACCTAGTTTTGTGAGTGGTTTAGTATTTTTGGTATATTGGAATATACTCGAAAGTATGAATATACCACTATACAATTGTCTTATATAAATCCGAATACTTCATATCTCTCTTTGTAGCATAGGCAATGGAAAATATATTATATAAAATATAGATATTTCAATGAAATAACAAAAAAACTTTAATCTTTAGGCGGAATACCTGCTTGATCATCATTAGCTCTTCACAAATATCAATTTTTGTTATTTTTTTGCAGCGACAGAGTATTAGGCAGTCAGTCAGTTATGCCACACGGCAACAAACCACCTCCCTTGCCTCACAGTATGAGTCACTGCCCAAACCTACATATTTATTGAGCCAAGAATACAAAAACATAAACTGTCAAATATCAATCGGCAGTTTAGAATGCAGTCAATGAACTTCATTTTGAGGCCTTATCTGACTGATTTAATCCACTATTTAATCTGATATGGGCGAACCCTAACAATTTTTATGCAAAATTTCGTTGTATAAATTTATATATACAAAAAAAAAAAAAAATATATTCACATTTTGTATATTACCCGTGGTACTTCTTTACCGTAAAAGTTAACGATAAGTTTGCCGAGTTCTAGATAAGATATACTGACTATACAAATGCCTGAAGCTTAATGCCTTAAAATTTTCAGCAAATTATTCAACGTGATTCATGCACTCACACGAAAAACCGAAAACCTAAAACAAGTTTTACAGGCATTTTCCACACTTACATGACAAACTAGATGAATAATGATGAATAACAGTTTATTCAAATGAATATCCTAACCAGAAACCTCATCGGGTGATTTTTCAAATAAAACGGTGTATATATATAGAAAGCCTATTAAACATTCCATTAGAGGAATTCTTCGCATCTGAATCAGTTCTTCTAATAATAGGCCGAGTTTTGCAATCTAGTAATCCAAATCGAGCAAGTCATAGCACTTAGATGACAGATAAGCCATAACCTGGTTTGCATGTTCTACAAATGTGCAATTCGATATATTTAAAACATAATGATGTGAATCAAATAAAAATGCAGTAAATAATAATTTCATTAATTGTATTATTCATACAAATACTTATTAATTAAGTACTCGCAATCGATTGTGTCTATACTCAGAAACGTATATGGTTAATTGGCTGATAACTGAAAGCAAAATCTTTATAAAGTATATATATTTGCAGTCAGATTGAAAAGACGAATGTATTCAGC